TATTATTATTAAACAGATATGCCACCCACACTGCCCAAATGTCTCTGGGCTGCTTACAACAATTAAAATACAATTAGAAAGATAAAACAATTAAAATAGAATTAATAATGATCAGATCTGGGAAGAGTTACTAATGTCTCAGTATTAATATTCAAAAAGACGGCATTGATTAACATCCATCCTTAACATGATCTGATCTCATGGTCTGACTCAGTTTAAGGGCAAATCTATATCGATCATTTATATTGCTGTCTTCAGCTATACAAATGAGAGTGATTCAAAACCAGGTGACTTGAAGGGTCAGCAAGCTAGCAATCAGGCAGGCAGTGTAGGGGGGAAATGCTTTTATTTTTTTAAAAAATCCTTCTATCTGGTATAGCACTGTATCCGATATCAGGATTTTAGATATCAGGATTTTAAAAAAAAAAGCTGCAGTGGTGTTCATATATGTGGAATCAATTCCACATCCGCCACAAAAGAAATGGACCTTTGCTAAAGGTGCAGAAAAACTTTCTCCCAAGGCATAGTTGTCCATGTGTGCATGTGCCTTGTATATACACTCAAATTTAAATTTGAGAAGAACCCTGTACAACAATTTTTTTTTCATCAGTGGAATCAGGCTCTTAAGACAGCTTCCCACAAGAATGGAGGAATGCATTCAAGGGCTTTAGGAACAACACAGAACCTCCACTTTGTTTATAATAAAACAGTTTATCATCTACTTAATTTGTGTTAAGTTTTTAATCTAATGATTTACCTCAGGCACTTTTATTATCCACTCCCACCCTACAGCGAGTTATGGTTCTTCCAAGCTTTCTTTCCTTGCCACTTCTTTGTCTCTCCTGGTTTCTACACCGCCTTTCTCTTTGACTCTTCTTCCTCTTCTTCTATCAGCACCACTTCTCTCTGCATACTATCTCCCTCTCTTACTTCTTCATCTTCTACTACTTCTATCTCTACATCTGCCCACTCCTCTCTTGTTCCCACCAAATTCTTTCTTTCTCCCTTCTTCCCTTTATCATCCTCTCTATCTCCTGCTCTTTTCCTCTTGTCTTTTTGACCATGTCATTCCTGTGGTTTGTGAAGTATTTTTCCTCCATCATCTCCTTGACAATACCAAGGGGTGAACTGCAAGCTTTGAACCCTTCAATATCATGAGGAAGATGGGATAGCACTGTGAAAGGAGGACCATCCTCCTGGTCCTTTCTTTACAAGTGGAGAATTTAGCTAATTCCTTTTATAGTCAGCAGAGTCAGGTACAAAAAACAACTGCACTGTGAAAGCATGAAAGAATAGCTTAGGTCTCAGTAGCCTACCTGTTTTCACAGTGATTAAGAATCACTCTGGAAGTATTTTAAGTGGAGAGAAAAATATCCTTACTTACAGTCACTGTCTATAGTTAACAGTCAAAAGGAAAAAAAACAGAAAAAATGGAGTCTCCACATGTGGCAGAGACCCCTACATGCTTCCCGCATGCTTGGAGGTCAGGAAAGGACAGAGAGACTAGAAAACAAAAGTAGTGAAACAAACAATCAGAAAGAGGGGCAGGGCAAGCCTGAGGCAGGAAAAAGAACTTCAGCAATAGAGTAGTGGCACCTAATCACCTTAGGTTGTGCAGAGTCGCTTCCCACTGTTACTGAGTGTTAATGCATACAAGATACAGTATATGGAAGAATTTAAATTTCAATAATATTAATATTTGCAAACAGAAGATTTGCAGTGCAGTTCTATGTACTGTTATATAATTAATTCAGCCTGTTCCTATTCAAAAAAACGCCATCTCCAAAAAACGAAGCTGAAAGAAGCTGGATGTCCATATCTGTGTTAAAAGAAGAGGCACACATAGGTCCTAGGTATGTGTTATTCGTTCACTTTTTTACTAAAACTTGTAAAATTCTGAGATTTCCAGCTGACAAACATATACCTGCAGACACCTTCACTTCACTCACCTGTGCAAGCTGGAGGCCTTCTTCTAAGCCCTCATTTCCTGCAATGCTTCCTTAGAGGAGGAGGCTGCCACAATAATACCTGGAGGTAATAGTCCCGTTGCCCTTTGTGCTCCTGAAGAATTCCTCTGCTGAGGAAGTACTGTGGCAGGAAAGGAAGACTAGAATGAGACCCCAGGCTTGTCCAAGTGAGTAAAATGAAGGTGTCTGCAGATATGTGTTTGTGGGATGGAACCCCCAGTCTTGGAATTCTGAGGGGGGGGGAAGAAGTTGTGTTGGGGGGGGGGAAGGCACAGCCCTAAAGAGCTCAATCCCTCTCTTGTTTTGATTCTATCTTCAGAAGTAATAGATGATATTTGAACCATCCCTAAAAGTGTATTGGAACCTCTCCCAGGCCTTAGTAAAATCTCCTAGGCTTTTAATAAAAATGGAGATGCAATAAGACCAGCAACAGTAGCAAGAACACCTAGAAGCTTCAGAGAGGAGCATTCAACTATGCCATTCCCAAGAATTTATCCTTTACTGAGACAAGAGGGAGTAGGAGACTAACTTCTAACCCCCTTAGAGAGAAGATTTGCATCCCTGAACTCTAGCCAGGGCAAGTAACTGGACTTAGATCTATGTTATGAAGACACTGGTTGTTTCTCAAACAATATTTGTTTTAACAGTTCGAAATAAATTGGGGGGGGGTCTCCACAGAAACACGTAAACAGCATCAAAATATATATTTATGCTTATAACTTCCCCACCCCATCCCCACCATTTGATGATTGAAATTATACAATAAATAAAAGTTACTGCACATATAATTGAACAATGCCTGTCACTCTCTTCAGTCCACTCCCTAAGTGTTTCGAATAAAACAAACTGAAGGGCTTAGCTAAATATGGGGAAGAAATACCTGGTGTGAATGGTAACAGGAAAAAAACTTCTCTTTAAAATCCTGGACTGTGCTAAGCATGAACACAGAAACTGCGCGTTTTCAGGGCTTAGAAATCAAGCTTCAGATCTTGTTTAAGCAGTAACGCCCTGTTCGGTTTCATCAACAAGCTGGTCTTTGTAACTTCCTTTCAGCCAGCAGCAAAAGAAACAGCCTTGTGCTGTCAATGAGAAATAACGTTCTGGCATCTCAGATCTATTCAGGAGAGTTCCTGGGAAAACTGATCAGGTAAGAAAGCTGGGGCATGTTGATATCTGTTTGGAAGGAGAGGAGGAGCATGAGAAATACTTGACTAAAAAGAACTCTCTTATAACTTTGCTAGGTTTTCAATGCAGCAGTTGTGTTAGTCTCTTGCAGCATGTGTTTAAGGAGGTACACTATAATCCATGAAAGCTTACACTGGCATAATTTTTTTAACATATCTTAAGGTGTCACAACTCTGTTTTTATTTTTGTTATGCATTGCCTAGGTTTGACATTTGAGGAAATGTGAAACATCTGAGTAGCACATGGGCATCAGATGTTAAGATCAGGGACTGAGCAGGAAGGAGCGCTTTGAGAACTTTCATACAGTCAAATTTGAAGGTGGTTCTGTTTTCACAAGGATTTTTGTTTGGTTGTTTCATGTCAGTGAGGCTGTATTCTTATCTGCTGTTCCTGTGCAGTAAGTCCCATTGAACTTGATAAGATTTATTTCTAAATAGAAACCCATATTGAAAATTGGTGCAGTGTAGTGGACACAGTGTTGTAGTAGGATTCAGGGTTCAAATCCCTGTTTGGCCATAGAAATTCATTTGGGGGGGGGTGATGCTAAACCACTCCTTGAAGATCCGGCATAAGTTGGAAGTGACTTGAAGGCACATACGTACTACAAATAGGCACACATGGAATTGCACTGCGAGTCCACAGAGTGGTAAAAGGAATGCTGTGCTTTAGAAGAGGTGTTGAGTCTACAAGCAAGCCTCTTTCCTTGACTGAGCCAAATAAGGCTTCTAAACCAACTGGGTGGAGTGTTGGGTTTTGGAGAGAAAGCTCTTTTGTGACTTTAGTGCCCTTTTGCTTTAAAAAGTGAAATGTTCAAAAACAGAATAACATGAAGGGATGAACTGTGTTTTGATGCACTTTCAGTCTGTCTTTTCTCAAAAGTAAGGGTTATAGATCTATTGCCATAGGTTGCTAAACAGTTTTTACGTTACAGCTCCCTTTATATCACTTATGCACAACAAACCTGAACATATTGCTAAACTCTTGGTTCAGTTTGTGTCCTGCTGCTATTTGTTCCCTTCTTCATTGCCTTTAGCCCTTCTGCATCTGGATCCTATACAGTGGGTTTTATTCCCAACTAAGGGTGTGATCAAATGGCTATAAAGATGTGTGCCGGTTCATATGAGAAAAGGACGCTTTAACAGTAGTACGGTAATTCCCCTTAAATTGACCCTTGTGTCTGCCAGGGAATTGTGCCATCCCAAGCCCCAAAAGTCAAAGCTCTCCAGCTGGATCCCAAAGGTCCAGCTTGGGCATGAAGCGGGGTCAGGCTGAAGCCCACCTTCCCCTGCATTACATGATCACCTAGGAAATAGACTGCACGGGACTGCTCCACAAGCAGTCTAAATTGTGTTGTGTTTCCTCATGTGATCATACCCTCACAGGCAATGTGATGCACTTTCCCTCACAAGTAAACCCCATACATGTTCAGAGGGGCTTATTTACTTCTAAATGTGTTTAGGATTGTAGCCAGAGTGAAGCACAGAAATGCACACGGAAGCAGAAAATGTTATTCATTTTGTTCAGTATTTTATGAATGTGTAACACATAGTACAATAACAATATGTACAGGTTAATAAATGAGAATTAAGTCCCACTGATTTCAGCGGCCAAGTCTTGATCTAACCCAATCAGCAGGATTGCTTTGTTGATCTTCAAAAAGATGCCTCGTGCTTTCCAGAGTTCTTGATGCATTTTAGCAATAAAGAAATAAACAAACAAACAGAATAATCCTTGCTGTGCATGTCAGGGCAGAAATAGGGTTATTAATTTCAATATTACACTTGTTGTCCATGCTGCTGCATATTTTCTTAATGAATGCAATTTGTATCAGCTTGTGTTTGGTTTGGAAAATTAACCTTGTGGGGAGAATGGGAAGTCTGCCAGGTCAAGCCACAGGAAGTGGGAGTTAGCGCAAAAATACCTGTTTCCTTTCAGGAAGCACCAGCAGGGACCCTTTTATCTTGGAGGCAACAGGACAAAAATAATGCATTTCTGTCCCTAGACCTCCCAGCATATTTTCCCAGGGTGTTAGGGCGATAGCTCATTATCCCTCTCTGGGGCTTCCGCATCTCAAGACATGACAATGTAAGACATACATTTTATTTAAGACATGAAAACAGAAGAAATGCATTGGCCGCTAAGATAGGGTTGCAATATTGCCTATTTGGCTGACCTTTACCTGGAATTTGGCCATGTCATCCTATGCCTGATTAAACTCTTAGCAGGCCTAGATTTCAGATATACAATAAGGTGTAGATATATCTATAGATAAATGTATATCTATCTAAGTGAAGTTTTATGGGGATTTGCGATGGGGTATTATCAGTGTGCAGTTCTGAACTGATGACATCTGGAATTGGCAATGGACTAGATGAGGACTAGTAAGTGACGTTTAATCCTATTAAAATGAAAGTGCCATTGACAGGTGATTTCCTTTTATTTGGTATTTTATTTGGTATTATATAGTCAAGCAGAAGTGATGCCATAGTTTCTGTTTTGAAAGGTTTGAATATGAATTGTAAGGTTCCACTGGATTTTGTTCAGATTACTCTAGTTTTTTGTTTTTCTTTTTGATGGCCAAGTTATGCAACAGGAAATGCAAGCTCTGTGCACAAACCACCACAGAATTAAACGAGCTTCTTTCCATTGCTCTCATGGGCACACAACTGTACATGCTTACTAGCAGCCTTCATGAGAAGCTCAGGCAACTGGATAGTAGGAACCTAGCATAGAAAAAACAGCAGCACCTTCAGTAAAGGGATCTATTCTTTCCCTTTGAGCAAAGAAAGAGGAGTGGTCTGCATGGTTTTTTTAAAAATCTTGATTGACCTGTGTTTTTAACACATGTAAACTACACTGTGGTCTTGCATAAAAAACAACTTCTAGATGTTCTAGAGTAAAATGTGTACATATACAAGCAACTGCACATAGTACCTTGATGCTACTGTCTTTTTGGATTCTGCATAGCAGCTGCTTGGGATCTTGAATTCACAATATCATAAACATTGGCCCAAGTACATAAAATAGCTTGATGTGGGATAAGGTGTAACATTGCCTGGCAATGCCAATCCCATATTGAATTACAAATTCTGCTTTGGCTTGACTAAAATAGGCAGTGTCTACCTTTGATATTTCCGTGCCTGGACAATACTGCTTCCTAGCTACCCTTTTTCTGTCTCTCCTCCCCCCCCCCTTTTAAAATTTGTTTTTAAAGTAGTTGTAGACAGATCAGTATTGCATCCCTCATTGGTTGTGGTTTTTGTTGATACTATTGTTGTTATTTTGACTTATATACCACATTATAGTGTTTGGAAGGAGAAGGAAAACTCCAATTTCAAACTTCCACTGCCTTGTAGCTACGTATATCCACTCATGGAAAAGGCTTCAGGAGTTAACTTAGAGGCAAAATCCGGAGCTGGAGTCCCGAAGGCAGTTTGTATTGTTCTGGCAACTCCTGCGATGTTGCTGGAACCATTTGTATTGGCTCTTGCCTTTCCACTGGACCCTATCAGCAACGTGGAGAGGGGGGATTTGCTGCTTGGGTAACAGCCTATCCTCCATATTACTTCAGCCAGGCTTCATGCTCTGGAGAGGACACTTCTCGATACAGAGCATGTTACCATAGTCTCTCGAGACTGAAGGATGCCTATGATGATGATAATAGTCTGCTCTGGGTCTTTGAGGATCAGGTTCACAGGTTAGTTGTGATAAGACTTCTGGTGGCCCAATTATCTTTGGTGAAATGAGGTGCTTTCCACTTGCTTAGGCTGCTGCATCACACAATCTCTCTTGGGCAAAGTTGTTTGTGCTTCCATGTGAAGTTACCATTGAAGACAGTCCTGAGATAGCTAAGATTATGGGAACTAGGTTGTTTCTTGGGGTGACAGTACTGAAACACCTTTACTGGCTCCTGGTCAATTTCTGGGCATAATTCAAGCTACTTGTTATAAGTTTCAATACCAGAACATCAAAGAAGATAAAATGGTTCATTCCACAAGAATTTTCCCACAAATTATCAAAAGCTCAGGACAGTTCTGTTGGTCCTTGCACAATCTGATCTGGATAATAATCATTATATGTAAACATAAAGAACTACAGCAAATATTTTCCCTGTGGCTTCCTCTTTGCTTTTCTTTGGAAGGAGCAGAATTTTTCCCTTAATGACAAACAAAATGTCTTTTTTTTTCCAGTAGGATTTTCGGCAACAAAACACAGGAGAAATGTTATTCTCGAGATTGTCCATGTTTTGTGCTCTCATGATTATCAGAAGGTCTTCACAGAATTCATTGGACTTTAAATCTGGCTGTTTCCCTCATTCACTTGTAAGTAACTTTCACTGTATCTAGCTGATTTGATTGAGGGTGAGGATCTGATGCAATATACATCAAGGGAATGTGACTTCCAGGGAAGCTAGAGGTCCAAGACATCTTGAGTATATGGTACTATATCTTCCTTTTCCACTTTCTTTCACCTTTGGCTTATGTAACACACTTGCCACACAGTTTATGTATCACATAATATAATTCAGAACAAATTATTGAAATACTAACACCACCATATATAGAAAAACAAATGCATTTTGTGCTAACAGACGGTTATTGAAAGTCTTCAAAGATAGCCAGCTGCAGTACCGTTGACAACTTTAATTTGTCAGCATTAGGAATAAGTGCAGCTTTCTTTAATATAGGTCTTATTACCATAAACCAGACCTGGCAGCATGCAATTATTATTTAATAATATTACCATAGGCTTTGAGGAGAAAGAAACAAACCAGTAGGTTGTTATGCCTCATAGGTAGATCTCACACTGTAACATTTCACTCTTTCTATCACAGGGCCTCTTTCCACCAAAAAAACCCCTGATCCCAACTACCTCCCTATTTAAGAATAGCAGGCGTATTCTTACAGCCACTTACACAAGTGTGCTAAAAAGGAAAATCTCTCTCTCTCACACACACACACATACACAAACAAAACAATTTAGCAATTTTTACCAAAGTATCTATAATTATTAATCTTTCAATTGTCAAGGGGAACCTTTACCTTACCTTTTACTTTTAATCTCTCAATTCCCTTGGACCTTCATGTTCTTTTTGTCTATACTTTCCAATCCATATTTCGAATCCAATTATAAAATTGTTCCCAATTTTTGAGTCCTTTTGGAGATAACCTTTCATTTAATGCTTCTGTCAGTACATCCATCTCCACCACTTCCAGTATCTTTTCTATCAATTCAAGAGACTGTACTTCTTCTTTCTTCTAATGTTTCCTATATAGTATCCGCACTGCAGTAATTACATGAATGATCAAATATCTCATTTCTTTATCTACAGTTTCAGGCATAATATTCAATAAAAGCCATTTTGGTTTAAATGGTATCGCACAACATACAATTTTTTGTAACATTTCATGTATTAATCTACAAAAATATCACCAGACCAGATATGATAAAAATTACCTTCCTGCATTTTACATTTCCAACATTTGTTGGAGATATTTTCATATACAGTATTTTAGACAGTTTAGCTGGAGTCATATGCCATCTGTAAAACCTCATATATATTTTTTCCTTTAAAATTTACTGATTTTATAGGTTTAATACTGTTCTACCAAATTTGTGCTCACTGTTCTAGATCAATATTATGACCAACCCTCAGAACACGGCCAAAAAGCCCGCAAAACCCACAACAACCATTAGATCCCGGCCGTGAAAGCCTTCACGAATACAAATCTAGAGAGACTTTCTGTTCTTCTAGCTCCTCTCTAATCTTTAACACCCCATCCTTCATAAGCAAATCTCTATATCTCAAAAGTTTTGTGGATTTAGCAATTTTTACCAAAGTATCTATAATTATTAATCTTTCAATTGTCAAGGGGAACCTTTACCTTACCTTTTACTTTTAATCTCTCAATTCCCTTGGACCTTCATGTTCTTTTTGTCT